CAGAGCCAAGCCCCCCCCCCACCTAATGCCTCCTCCCTCCCCTAGAGCCAGGCCCCCCCAACCTAATGCCTCTCTCCTGCCCCAGAGCCAGGCACTCCCAGCCCCCCCAACCTAATGCCTAGGGCCTGCAGCCGCAGCCACACATTTCTTCCTCAAGTGCTGGGGCAGCGTGAGCATAGTGCCCAACTGTGAGCCTGCCTCCAGCATCCAGCCCCTTCCACTGCCTAATTGCCAGCCCCAGGACATCACCTCCCTCTGCCCTAGCTCAGCACCAAAACCCTCTGCACACTGCCCCAGAACACAATTCCCTCCAAGACTCTGCAGTCCCTACTAAACCCCTCCCACAGGTCAAAATTCACTCCTGCACCCCTACTCCCTTCCTGATGCAGCACCTTAATCCTCTGCCCAAGGTCATACACCCGTACCCCACCTAAACTTCCTGTAAGACCCCACACTTTCTCCTGCACCCCATTCCCTAATCCAAGCTCCATCCCAAACACCCACTGCCTCTGTTGAGAAGTATGGCCCTTGACCACTTTCCAAAACCTTGAAGCGGCCCTCCAATCAAAAATTATTGCCCATCCCTGTGATAAGGACATGGGGAGGCATAAAACCCATAACAACTGCAGGCCATCTTTGCCCTATTGCTTTAAAAGACAGAAGAAGTGTATTAGATTATCACAATAACTATGAGAATAAGTTTTGTTCCCACCCATGAAGGAACATGTACATACAGCAATCACTCTTTTAAAAGGATAAAACGGGCTGTAAAGAAGGCATGTGTACCCAGCAGCTGGGTCACAATATGGGCAAAACCTGAAGGAGATAAAGTGTGGCAAAATCTTTGCAAAAATAAAATACACGACTGAACCAAAGTGTATTATATTGTAATGGATAAGGAAGAAAACATCCCAATTTTTTCAAAAAGATTTTATCCCTATCAGACAGCATGACCGTTTTATTCAGTAATTCACACACTCATTTTAACTTAGGCTATTCTAAAAATCAGAGTCCCACATGAAAAAATAGATCATAGCAATTTACATAGTCATACAGCCTCTCTCCGAGTTACGAACGAATTACGGACCAAACACTTGGCCGTAACTCAATCTGTTCGGAACTCGAACCCCATTGAGTTACATGTGACCGCGCTGTTCGTAAGCGTGGGTTGCATTCGTAACTCGGGGGCCGCCTTTACGACCGCTCCATGGGACCTTTGGTCGTAAGTGTGAACAGTCGTAACTTGACCATTTGCAACTCGGGGAGCGGCTGTATATTAATGTTCAACACATTCAACCTTATGGTGTCCATACCTGATGTCCTTTTAAATCTTCATTTTCACAATCAGAGATCCAGTGCTTTCTTATTTCTTAATTAGAATGCATGAAAAAAAAAAAAAGACATTTATATTAGAATGTGATTACTTAAAGTATTAAGATTTACATCCAAAATCTGATTTAACTAATTCCTCATTTAGACATAATTATCTATAATTAAAGTATTTTCCAAATAAACTCTGGAAAGGTTTAACAAATGCAGCACACACACAAAAGAATGAAAGACACCCACAAAAGAATGTATGAATGACAAAGTTAGACACTCAAGTCTCTGTGATAGAAAGATGCAAATTATTTGTGAACCTCCATTAATTTCTAGGAAGCCAATGCTAGAACACTTAAGCATTTAACTATAGTTCTATTAACCTCATTGGGATTACACAAAAGTCAAAGCTGTATACACACACACACAGGGTATGTCTATACTACAAAGTTAATTCGAACTAACAGACGTTAGTTAGAATTAACTTTCATAGGCGCTACACAGGCAAACCGCTAGTTCGAACTTAATTCGAACTAGCGGAGCGCTTAATTCGAACTAGGTAAACCTATTACTACGAGGACTAACGCCTAGTTTGAATTAAGTAGTTCAAATTAAGGGCGGTGTAGCCACTTAATTCGAACTAGTGGGAGACTAGCCTTCCCCAGCTTGCCCTGGTGGCCACACTGGGCACCACCAGGGAAACTCATCTGCCCCCCTCCCGGTCCCGGAGCCCTTAAAGGGGCACGGTCTGGCTACGGTGCCCATGCCAAGTGCAAGCCTGCCAGCACCCAGCCAGCAGACCCTGCACCTGGCACGGCATGAACCATCCACCCGCTGCCACCCAGCCTCCGCCTCTTCCCGGGACCAGACTGGCGGCCCCCCGGAGCCCACCCCCGGC